GTGTGTGCACTTAGCCATCAGTATGCAATGTGTGCCTGCACACGCGCTGATTTTCCTTCTGCTCTCCAGGAGGCAGCCACCATGGCAGGGCTGCCAGGGCCCATCCCCGAGGCCCCGTGCTGACTGGGCCCTGCCGACCGCATTGTGTTTGAAAACCCAGCACGATGTATTACAAAACACTTTATTAGGCCTGGGAAAATGTGGCAATTAAAAGCTGCCCATCAGTCTGTTCCATCCTTTAGAACAAAGCCAGGGCAGCAAGGACGGAGCCAAGCTCAAGTCCACAAATGGCCGGAGGCTTGTGTGCTAAGTGGGGACCCCACAGCAGCCCGCTTCCTGCCTCAGGTGGGGTGGTTGGCTGGACAGGCGCCAGGTGCAGGGTCCGCCCCAGGTGCCTGCCCCTGTCTGCACCCTCGCCTTACCCTCTGAGGGAGATACAGGAGGAGACACTGCTGTCAAGCCAGCCATTGTGGGCCCGAGCCACAGAGCTCTGGCAGCTTGTACCTGGATGCCCATTTTTTGTCTCTATGAGCCAGGGGTGGAACCTGCCCTCTCCAGCTTTCACGGGGGCTCCTGCTATCCCGTGGCTGCTGCCCACGCCGGTGTCCACTTCTCAGCCAGTGCAACGTGCCCCACGGCAGCGCCTGCCTCCCCTAGCCCACCTCTCTGCTCCCACTCTCTGTCTGGGACCTGCGCCTTCCTACACTCGCCACCCCTGGGGCGCCCCCAAGGAGCTGCTCCCCAGACTACGTTCTGTGACCTCCTCGTGGGTGAGTCCTGTGGAAGGCTGCCGTACCTATGCTCACCTCAGGGTGGCGGGCATGCGCTCACAGGAGCAGTCACTGCTGGCGCTGGGGACAGGCCAGAGCACCAGGAGACCGCGCCGCACGGGAAGCAGGGAGACGAGGCTCATGCCGCACACAAGGGAACACTAGCGTCTCCTATGCTCACGTGGCTTTCACGGAGCACACAGAGGAGCTGCGTGACCGGGAAATGTCAGTGCTGTCAAATGTGTTCAGCGAACACGGATCTGTTGACGGTGTCACGAAAGGGGCTCCGAGGACGGAGGGACGGCCTCTCTGGTCCCCATAAGGTCTCCACCGCCATGCCTGTGCCCGAGGCCAGAGGATGCTGAGGGGCCCGCAGCCACACTCAGGATGGTGGTGGTCACAGTGGTAGTTGTGGTGGTAGCTGTGCTCAGGTTGGTTGGTGGTGGTGGAAGTGGTGGTAGCTGCTCAGGATGGGTGGTAGCAGTGCTGGTGGTAATGATGGTGGTGGCTACATCAGGGTGGTGATGGTGGTGTGGTGGTGGTGGTGATGGTCGTGATGGTGGCGTGGTGGTGGTGGTGGTGAAAGTGGTGGCGTGGTGGTGACGGTGGTGGTGAGGTAGTCGC